GCAGTTTCATGGGTGGGGCATCCACATAGGACAGGGCACAGAGTGGCTGCCTCCAACCCACTCTACCTTCAGCTCAGCAAATACCCCTGGAGCTAGAAAGACAGACACAGGGCTCAGCTATTTTCCTAGAACACCTGAAGAAAAAATGCAAAAAGGCAAACCAACATTCTTACTAGCACAACAAAATGCAGGCATAACAAGAATAGTTTAAGGAAGAAAAATTAAAAATCAAGAAAGTACAGGTACAAAGGGACATCTGTCCTAGCACAGAGGGGGAGTAGACTGTTTCTCCACTGTTGTGTGTTGAGATTCTAACCCCCACGGCCTCAGGATATGGCCTTACATGGAAATAGGGTCATTGCAGCCGTAACTAGTTCAGATGAGGGGATACTGGAGTACAGCGGGCCCTGATCGGCTCATGTCCTCTTCAAAAGGGGGAATGTGGACACAGCCCTGTGCACGGGCAGGACGCCACGCGAATGTGAGGCAGAGATTAGGCGATGCTTCCACAAAGTGAGCAAAGCCCAGGATGGCCAGCAAACCACTGAAGCTGGGATAGAGGCCTGGGGTAGACTCCCCTCCGGCCTCTGGTGGAACCAAGCTGCCTGCCCCTTAATCTCAGATTTCTGGCCTCTGGAACTAGGAGGCACTACTTCCGTTGTTTGTGCCACTCGGTCCGGGCTATTTTATTTCAGCCCTAGCCAGTTAATATGAGCACCTAGATATGTGTGACCATAACTGAGAGTTAGCTGTCATGACAAGAACAAAAATGCCACCAAGGTAAGATCAATGGTAATAAGAAAGTTACTATGTTAATACAAAATTAAAAATGTTTTTTCTGGTGTCCTCCCAGAAAGAGACACTTTTCTGTCCTGTTCTCCACTGTACCCAGCACAGGAAGGAGAAGTTCTGGGCACTCCGTGTGTGTTGCATGAAATGAATGAATGTCATCTCCCATGACTCCTGCTAAGGAGAACTTCTGCATGCTCAGATGCCAGTGCTATAGATTCTAAATAGACATTTAGACCAGAGAGAAAGGCTAGTGTAACGGTTTCCCATCTCACACGGGAACAATGAGGTTCAAAGTGGCCCCTGATGGTTCTGAGATCACTGCTAGTGGCATAGACGTGGCTGTCACACAAGGATCTTGGCCGGTGCAGACTCGGCTCACATCACACTGCCTTTCTATGGTAATCAACAGAATTTGGCCCTTGTGGTGCGATGGAATTTTAAATGGCTTTTTCAGTTGGGAAGGAATGATTAAATTACATTCCACAATAGGTGGGCTTAATGGTGGGCAGACTTTCAATGCTCACTGGAGGCAGCTGCCTCCAGGACTCGGCCTGTGCAGGGTTCCAGGCCTGCCCTGCTTGGGTCCCGCTTGGCTAGTTCGGGCCAGTCCTGAAGGGTCCCGGCCCAGGGTCGGTCAGCTGAGGCGGCATTGCAAACACACCTCAGGCCCAGCTTCCCGCATCTCGTCAGGTGCCACTGCCCTGTTTCCCACCAGAACACGGCCATCTCAGGGCCTGTTTCCCAGGCACCCAACTCCAGATGGTGTGTGAGGAGCGGGGACAAGTCCTGCCAGCTGTGGAGGGAAGAATCGGGAGGCACGTTCTGGAGGCTGGTGTTGCCAGCAGGTGTGGCCGGGCAGAAGCTCTGTTAGAAGTGAGGGTGGTGGGTGGGGGGCCAGCATCTGCAGGGCCTTGGTCATCACCTGCTGATGGAACATTCTGGGGGGACCATGGTGGGTAACACAAGAACTTGGGCCGCCGTGACCCTTTCTGGGCCTGAACAGACTCAGCCCTTTGGAGATGGCTTTATCTCATTTGTTTGTTTCTAAGAGCCATTTTGCTTGTTTGTATGTACCTTTTATTCTGCTATGATTTTAAATATACTAGTTGGGTTATTCAATCTCCTTAAAATACAGACAATCCATAAAAACCTCTCTCTCCACACATACCCCACAACCACCATCATCAACACAACCACATGCATGAATTCCCGACCCCTCGGCAGCCAGGCCAGCCTCTTCTAGTATTTCTGGCCTCAGTTTCCCACTGATGAAGCCTTTGGTGACACCTGTGACTCCTTTAGAAATGTCTGTCTTCCTCCTGTGCGGTGTCCCCAGCACGGGTGTCACTTGCTCATTGTGTGTGTGGCTGCCACTAGAGAGAACTCAATTCAGTGGCCGCTGGGGGAAGGAGGTTTCCTTTCCCCTCTGCAGGTGTGGGTATGAAGCCCCAGTCAGCCTGCCCTCCCCTCCCATTTCACATCTGACAGATTGGGCTATATTTCTGAGAACATTCTCTTATCTCAGGATCACAGGGTGAGGGCAGGCCATTTCCCCAAAGAAGGCACATGCTCACAGCGTCCAACCATCAAGGGAGAGCTTCACAGATTAAAACAAAAAGCAAAGCAAACCCAGAGAGTGGAGTCTGGGTCTGGGCAGTCAGGAAGGAGGGGGAACATCTCCCCGTGGATCTGGGCTCTGACCTTGGTCTACACCCCAGGAGCCCAGGTGGTTCCCCCAAGTGTTCCTGAGCTGTTGTCTCTGCAACACACGGCCTGCAGGAATCACTTACCTGGGCCCCATCAGCCAGCATCTAGTTCGACGTCCAGCCTTCAGCACTGGGAGAAGTAAATATGTGATCTAAGTCCCGGTCAGTGGTACTTGGTTAGAACAGCCCCGAGCTGGCTGAGACAGGTCAATTCATTTCAAACAACACCTGGATGCTGACAGGTGTCAGCCTTCCTAGGGAAAGTACCATCCGAGCCATCCTCTAGGGAGCATTGAGGCATCCCTCATGAGGACATATGGCCCTGGCTCTGACCCTAAGTAACTGTGGCTCATGGCTAGAAGGACTTGGAAGGTTGACTACAACCGGAACGTCAGCAGGGAACTCACAGAGGTCGGTCCATTCAGACACAGAGCTAAGGGGGTTTCAGTGTGCAATGCTGTGATTTAGAACAAGAAGTGAATATCTAGTCTTTGTCCCCTTTCCCAGCCCAGAAGAGCTGAGAGTAGGAAGGGGTCTTTTGTTCTGTTATTGATGGGCTTTCAGAAGGCCCCTGAAGCTGGGGCTGCGTGAGGGGAAACCAGCTTAGTCTAAGAACTGGACTTTTTGGTCCCTGACCTCTGGGGTTGGGAGGAGGGAAGGGTCTGGAGGTGGAGTTCAAGAACTGGGGAGATTCCAGGAGATGGGCGGGCCTGGGCAGAGCAGGGGAGCTCAGTGCCCCTTCCCCACGCCTGGCCCTGAGCATCTCTCCCATGTGGCTGTTAGGTTCTTTTAAAATAAACCACTAAGTAAATGCTATCTCTGAGGTGTGAGCCGCTATAGCAAATGAGTCAAAGAGGGTCGTGGGCACCTTCAATGTATAGCCAGCGGGTCAGGAGCACAGGTGACTGGCATCTGAAGTGGGGGTGGAGTAGACAGTGTCAGAACTGCGCTGAATTGTAGGCCACCCAGCTGGTGTTGAAGAATAGCTTGGTGATGTGTAAAAAGCTCACACTTCAGCACTGGGAGCAGAATCCAGCCAAACAGAGAGGGCCCTGAATGGAGTCACTGTCACACAGTTTCCCAGACCCTCTAGGAATGGGGTTGCAAAGCGAAGCTTTGTTGTTGTTACAATGTATTTTTTTCTTATAAAGTAAATTCCCAGAACATGAGATACATTCTTAAGCAAATAATGTAAACAACTCAAAAGCCAAATCCAGTAAATTTTTTTTCAAATTAACTGTAGTTTTTAGAATGCCTCTGAATCTCTCCTTATCTGTTAGTGTGACTTGTTAAGAACTGGCTGTTCTCATTAAAGTGTGTGTAAGAATGATCCTTGGCTTTAAAAACCTTCAGGAAATATTACATGGAAAACCAAATTGACTATGAACTCAATTCTATTAAAAAACGTGCCTGACTAGAAAGACAAGAAGTGAATTAGCAGTCACCACTGGATGATACACTTATGGGTCTTTTTTGTTTTCTTCATTTTGCTTTACTCTGTTTTTTAGATATACTCCAAATAGGTATTATTTTTAGAGTCATGAAAAAAATGTTCCTAAAGTCTTTCTAATCTTTCAAACTCATCTCAATGGCATCTGACTGGACTTGCTAGGTGGGTTTTCTGTGATTTCCCCTTTCTTTTTCCCAACTAGGTAGGGCACATAACAGGGGCTTGATGTTGCGCTGTGCACCCCAAAGGAGCCGCCCATGGCCCAGACACAATGATCAAGGACTCATGCTGCCCCTTGAGATTCGTTCAGGGTCCTCAAGCCCCTGGACCTGACCCCTGCCCTCTGGGGCTGGAGCCCAGGGTTGGTATGGATTCTAGGTAGGGAAAATAGTGAGGCTGTGTCCTTCCTGGAGAAGTGAGTGCTTGTACACCAATGTCCAGTGCAAGCACCGGTCTGGGAGAAGACCGCATGTCCAGGGAGGACCCACCTGGGTCTGGGGCGCATGCAGTGGACACTGAGGCCAGGCACGTGGGGCACTTGGCTTTGAGGGCAGCGAGAGGGGATGGGAAGGTGAGCAGGCCGACAGGGTACTGTGCCAGCAGAGCACATCAGAGGGCTCAGGGACAGAATGGGCAGCTAGGAACCAGGGTGCTGGGGCACGCTCTGCAGTTCCTTAGCCTCTGTGATGCCCGACACCTGTCCCTGGGACACACTCAGACGGCCGTGCCATGACCCTGAGAACGGAGGGCTGTGCCCTCCTCGCTGCCTGCCTGCAGGATTCATTTCCTTTGATGGGACCAGGTTTGGGATGTTGGTCCCCCAAGATGCTGGCTTTCATCTCAGAATACCAAGAGTATTTTCCCCAGTGACTCATCTCTGCTCCATCTTGCTGCTGAGTGGGTTGTCTGAAATACGCTTATTAATTATTGATAACTTTGTTGATTTTTAGATTGTACTTGCCTTTAGCAATGGCAGTTTGTAAAAGCACCCAATTACTTTAAACACACACCAAGGAGAGACCTCATTACAATGACCCACTGAGAGCGAAGGCTATCCACTAAAAATATTTTAATATATTAGAAAACATCTTACAACACATCAGACCAATATTCAAGAGTATTACATATGGAGACAAATATATAAATATATATATTTCCTTAAAATCTGAGATTTTCTATACACGCTCAACTTCAATTGAGATAACCTCCATTAAATTACCATTTTTTAAAAAAGGAATATGTTTCACAAAACTGAAACTCATTTACAACTGAAAAAATAAAGCAACGTGATATAAAAACTAAATTTGAGTTTTACTCTAATGCTAAATGTCCCTACTATCCCCCTCTTAAGAAAAATAACTATTCAAACATTTTGAATATTATGTTCAAATCCAGAAATTACATAAGAAAGAGGAATGGTGACGTAAAAACGGCTGGAAAATGCAGCTAGAATAACAGCTAGAAATGCTGATTTCTCAAGTGCAGCTTTCAGTTTTGTGTTGTACTGCCCTTTGGGGAAAGAGAAGTATTTTTCTTCAGCTGGAGAGAAATTCATTCCAACCCAGAGGAGCTGAGCTTCAGATTCAGATTTTGCTTCAAATAATAATGACTGAGCACCTGCTGTATGCAACGCCTTCAGTGTTTTCACATACATGATCTTGTTTGTGGAACTGACTCTAGTTGAATAATGTGAAGATTAGCAAAGTGCATTCATATTAAGTAAAAAAGCTCTTTTATGTTTGTATTGATTATACTAAGGTCATTATATCTTAGATACTATCAAAACCCATATGGGATAAAAGCTTTCTAATTCAGTTTTCTCTTTAAACTATAAAACTATAAAACAATATAAAATGGAAAACTCATGACAACCCATTCTGTTTAAAATGGGACACAAAGATATTTCAGTTGAATTAAAGAGACTCACAATTTGAAGTAGGAATATCTTTTCTGAGTAAAAATTATTACAAAACCAAACTTTCAAAATCACCAGGCCTTGAAAACAGTTTACGAAGTGCCGTTTCAGCCGCCCAGGGCAATCAGGCAACACTGAAATGCCATCTAGTGGTCGACTCTGGAATGGCGGCTGGATTAACATTTTTCTTTGCATGGGCAAAAAATTTTCCATGATTTTGCTTTTTTTGAAACAGTGATAGGGGATTATTATCTTCCCGGCAGTGAGATACTGCCTAAGGTACATAAACAAGCTGCACGTGATAGTTCCACAGGAGAGGATTTTGTTCCCTGACCCAGTTTCAATGACGTTGTCCCTCAAGCCCTTTTCTTGGGTGTAGAAAGGGAAGATACTGTATCTTCTCATATTGACCTAGATTATATTCTGATTCCAAGTGGTTCAGAGTTACTTAAAAAATATTCTATGGTACCATGGCTTCATTTACATAAAATCCAGGTACATTCTAGACTCTTCATCCATTTCTTATCTGCCTGGTGATTTTTCAGAGCAACTCATGCCAATCCAATAAGCTGTCACTTTTCAGAGACATGGGGACAGCCACCTATTTAAATAAACCCACATATTGTTGCTTGATGGATTCATGCGGCTTGAGCAATAGGTTCACAAAGCAACCCAAGCCCTGACTCCATGTCAGCTTCATCATGAAATGCAAAGTGTATCTTCATTTTGCTAAGAACCTTGGAAGAGAAAGGTGACCAACAGAGACAGCAGATGGTCCAGGACTAGTCAGTGTGGGCCCCGGGCGTGCAAAGCATGGGCAGATTGATTATCTCCTTCTAGCCACTTATTGAAGACTGATAAGATTATCATTTTGGAACAACTGTCAACTATTTCTAAACTTCTGGGTACAAAATTCAAGACTGCAATGGTGTAAAGCCAGAAAAGGGAAGAGGATACCAAGGAGGAGAAATAATCAGGTGAGATACTTAGTAATTTTTCCAGATGTGAAAATCGGCATCTTGATATTTAACAGAAAAAAAAACTGTATCAAATAAAAGAACTGGAAAAATAACTTCAAAATGGAAATGCAGGAGTTACAGTGCACACTGCTCAAAAAACATTAAATCCAAAATAAGCTAATTAACTAAAGGTATTATTTTGCATTATCTATGGATTTCAATGACCCAAGATATTGATGTGTTCAGTCACCACAGATAATCAGATAGCTGTGTCACAGGAAGTCAGATTTGGGGCCATGGAGAAATGCCCATAGGAATCACTGCTCACAATGGCCACGACACTTGGAGTCTTAGGAAGAGTCGCCCCAGGTGGGCTGAAGGCTTGATCCACTCCCAGCTTTACCAGTCCAGCTTCAGATCTGCCTTGCTCCATGCATACTTTCCTCCTCGCTTCAGAAACATCTTTTCATCAAACCCGCTGAATTTTATAGCTTCTTGTACTCCAACATCCAAAATGGACTTGGAAGGATCCTTCCGCCCGTTTCTACAATTCAGGAAGCGCATCTAGGAAATTCACAACAGAAACTGACATATTTCTATACAATTTATCCTGGAAAATTCAATTTTGAGTATTAATCCAAAATGATTTTTGATATTCCAGTCATTTCAAAAACTGTCTATTGAAAACTGTGGGCCAGATACTATCGTAAAGATGCTGAGCTCCCTGGACACCATCTCTCCTCAACTGGCTTGTGATAACCAGCATGAACACATTAGGTCAGTGGAATGCATGCTATGCAGCATTTTATACATGTCACAGGAGGTGCATTCCCTACCCTGGTGGTGGGTGGGTAATCAGAAAGACTTCTGGAAAATGCAGATCTCTGAATTATGCTTTGAAGTTGAAGGCTAGAGAGAACTCTTACAGAAGTGCAGGAACATGAAACAATACGGTGTAGTTGGGAAATTGTACGTAGATGGTATAACTGAAATGAAAATTGTGTGCATAAACATAGAAGTCTAAATATTTAATAAAAGGTTCTTTTGAGAAAGGTAGAGAGAGGGACAAGGAAGGAGCTTCGGAGGCAGGCGGGCAGGCGGGCAGCAGATGGTAAAGAGTCTTAAGTGTCCTGGCAGGGGTCTTGATTTTTATCCTCCCTTACGGGTCGTCACACGTCTAATGACCTATGATAACTCTGAGCATTGGGTAGCATTTTGTAGCAGTCAAAATGTTGTGGAATCAAAATGTTCTTAAACTGTCAAAAGCAAATTTTGGTTCCATTCTGTTAGTTCCAATTGTGTGGAGATCAGAGAGTTTGTTGAGGAGCGTCTGTCAAAAGCCCTAGCCAGCCTTGATAGTCCAAAAATAAACCGTTTGGTTTTTCCTTTCTGCCTTGAACCCACAGACTGAACATTGGGTGTTATCACCTTTCCCTGCTTGCTCTTCCAATAAAGAAAGCCCATGTTGACAAAAAATGAAATGGCTGTGAAACACCATCGATTAACTTAAAAATAATAAAAGACCAAAAGTAAGGACAAGCATGTTTCAAAACACCAAATCCAATTTCAATATTGAAGCCATTGTTCTTGTTAGAGCTCATTTCTTAGAAACAGGTCTTTGAATGAAATTATTTTGGCAAAAGTTTATGGATCTAGGAAAAGAGAAATAGAGAGATAAAGGGAAGGAACAGTGGTTTGTGTTTTGGTTTTGAGACGGGTGGATGTTCCTTTTCATCTGGAAGCTGTGGGAGTAGGGATCATGTCAGCCGCTTTTGGAGAGGAATGGTGATATCTTTTTAACAAAGTCGGGATTTGTCAGGACTAGCTGGCAGCAGTGGAAATATTAAAGGTAATTTGAAGCATGATATGACCTCCCTCCAAGGGAGGCATGAGAGCAGACTCTGCCGTGTGCTCCATCAGCCTCAACGAGGCTTCCGTGAGTCCACACTCAGGGAGAAGCCATTGCCAGGGGCTTAGTGCAAATACAGGGACTGGTGCAAGCTAATGCTCAAGGGCTTAGCTCAGAATGCGACTCTGTGATACTAATGCTCAACAGTGACCATAAGAATATGAGATGCTGGCTAGGAAGAACACATACACACTAAATGACTATACTCATTATAGCTCAGCTCTGGCATTGCTGCTTGATTTATTTGTAAGTGATAATTTTGTAATTCATCAGACATACTTACATATTCATCCAGAATAAGGTAGGAATCTTTCATCTGCAAAGGAGAGATTCAAAGCAGATTTAGTTTCAAGGGTATTTTCCAGTATGTATGTTCAACTCTATGTCTTACAATGTGCGTGTATTTTATTACTTCTGGATTCAACATTTCTGATGTGGCTTGAGCATCTTTGGCTATGTTCCTTACAGGGCATGTCCCTTACAGGAGCGTCCACTCCCTCTATCCAATATGCCTCTCCGGGGTCATCTATTTATGTCCATTCAGATTCCAGAAGATTCCAGCTGGCTTGTATTCTCTGCTCCATGTGGAAAGGGACAAATGTCACTCTGAAAGCTTCTCTGACAATGAGATCCCCAGGCTAGTTCCCCCATTTCCTCTAGCTGTGGGGGAGCCTTGAGATTCTCCAAGGCTGTGTCCACCATGTATATAGTTGCCCCCCTTTGCAATGTGTAGAGCAGACCCCCTTCCATGCTATTACTTGGGAGCTTACCTGAGAATTTTAATAGCTGCTACATTATTACTGCATTATTACTTGTAACTGGTTATGCCTTCTATAGGTACAGAGAAGATATACTTGTATTTCTCTACCTTCAATACCTCCCCTGTAGGTAGGGGTTGGCAAACAGTTTTCTGTAAAAGGGCAGGTGGTGAATATCTTCAGCCTTGTAGGCCATATGGCCTCTGGGCCACTAATGAGCCCCACAGCTGGCCTATGGCCACTGGAGACACACACGGATACTGGGTGTGCTGTGTTCCTCTACAACGCGAGGGACTTGAAAATGGATTTTCTTATCATTTTCACTGGTCACAAATGTTATTCTTATTTTGACTTTTCCCCAACATGCTTAGCTTGCATCCCAGGTTGTCCCTCTGGCCCAGTTTGTCGACTTCCAAGCAGGGCAGGTCGGGACCTGACACTAGCTGTCTGGGGGTGAGGCAGGGGCATATAAAGTGCAGAATCGCAAGCTCACTCAGGACCTGCCCACTGGCTTACAATCCTGGGAGCTTCCCAGGTGAAACCTGAGACTGAACCCAGGTGGAGGGCAGGGAGAGACCAAGGAGAGAGGCCGGCCTTCCAGCCGGACGGGCAGCTGGTGTGATAAGCAAGGGATTGTCTGGGCCGGGCGTAAGAACAGATCTTCACACCACCCACCAGAATCTCACAGTTTATAGAGAGGCCTCACTGGGGTTCACCCACGTACACGTCCCAGATGTTCTCAGCACCGCAGTGCTCTCAGGACTAAGTCCTAGGAGCAGCTCCTCTGTGGCAATGGGGCAGAGTATACGTTCCTAGGACAGGGCAGAAGCTCATTCAAAGGACCCCAAGCCGGCAGGTGCAGGGCCGATGGTGGACCTCAGCCTGAGAGCCCTCCCTCCCATCTCTCTATGCTGAATCCCATAAATAACAGTGGGTGGAGCCCTTGGGCAGAGATTTCCCTCCTTGGAATTAATGCAAAGGTGTGATGGTGAAGAGAATGGCACTTGCTCTATACAACCTTCTGGTTGGACTCGGGCACCAAGCAGGACACCTCTTTGTGGCGGTCCAGAAATCTCTCAAACTCCTCATCACTGATAACGAACCGCTCTGCCTGTCTCAGAGCATCTTCTCCAGCATTCTCGCCCTCAATTATGAGGCACTGGAAGACCTGAAACACAAGCGTGGTGAGTGCTTTTTGCAAAGAGCTGTCTGTCTGTTTTTACTCCAAACCTCATTTCTCGCCCACCCCCCCACCCCACCTTCATCTCTTTTGTACAAAAACAATCTGCAGACAAGGTGCTGTCTGGAAAGATGTTGCTCTGGGCACACAAGAGCTCACCATGAATTTTAAGAGGCACAAGTGCCCCTAAAATATAAACTTTAAAAACTGGTCCAGATTATGTTCTATCTAATCTTACAATCTAATTTTTTCAGACTACAAAGTAAATGCTGTTCATCAATGGAACATGGACATTACAAAAACATCAAGAAAATGAACGAATCATTTGTAATCCCCAAACCAAGAAATACCTATTTTCAAAATGTTGTTGTTTCCACTGGTTTCATCCTTATTAAAGCCTCTAGAATATGTTTGTTTTT